TCAAACATATATTTTATTCAAAAATAAAAACATCATCGCTTTCTCAAAATCACATAAAGCCATATTATAACATCGACTGAGATAAAGAATAAAATTAAATATTAAAAACACGATGTATCTCGCTGCATTGCGCGAGTACGCTTCTAGTTATAATTTAATTTAGGTTTAGTAACAAAGAAATTTGTAATTTAGGTTTAATAATATAATTTTTTATAGAGATAATGACTAAAGTATTATGTTAGAACTCAAGGATTATTCTAATTATATTTTAGATTTTTTATATTTAAAATGAGATGTTTATCCAATATTTGATTATGTTTATCTGCAATTAATTATATAAATTCAAATATGGAGCTTTAATAAGTTGTACTTATGCATAATTTACTTCTAATCATAAAATTTTAGTAATATTCATCAATAAACAATACTTCGTGCATAAAAATTGGTTTTTTAAGAGTTTTTTTTTGTCAAATATTTTATAATATAGTATAGATATATATTATTATTTATAAAATTAATATCTTAAAAATATGTAAATATACATTTATTTATATCGAGAAAACATCATTATTTTAATTATGCAGTTTATTTTTAATTATTTAAATTAAAGACAAGTACATATATGAATAAATATTTAAATATACTTTAAAACAAATATTAAGATGATTAAATATTAATTTTACTAATTTGTATTTTAATTTTAATATAAATAGGTTTAATATAATTTTTATAAATTAATCGGTTAAACCAAGACATAACATAACTTAATCAAACAAAGATGAAAAAAATATTAATAGTTCGATTAAGAGGCAACCACTGTATCGTTAAAAAGTGAATCTTGTTTGCCAAAAAAAAAAACAATTCGTCTCTTAATAGTTCTAAAACCCTCCGAATGATTTTGTATTTTTAGGTCTCCCTTAACCATTCACTACCTTAATTTCATTCTGAACAATTACCAAACAATTATATTTCATTTTGCACTATAGCATAGAAGTCTCTTAATAATTTTGATCACTTAATCATTCTGCACTAAATCATTCAGCAACTGTCAAACAACATCTTTTAAGTATAACATAATAGTTTATTGTAACGGGATCAAATGTAACATTTGATTAGACCGTAACCAATTGATATGGATAAGAGTAGTTTAAGAAAATGGATGGACCATGGTCCATGGGAATGGCTCGCTGGCTCATCTATTTGGCATAGTCCATGGGACCATAAGGCTCAAAAAGGTTAGCCAAGAGTCCCTTCTTTCTCAAACGATTCATGCCCATGTCTTTGCACAATTGATCATTGTACCATATTTCTAAAACAGCAATTGACGATCGATGATGGTACTCCCCGCTTGATTGCTTCATGTATTCGTCCCATCTCGATATATCTTTCTGCATCTCGTTAATGCTCGGTAGCTTGAACGCACCTTCGAGAAGTGATGTCACCCACCTACACCTCATTTCTGACGTGTGAAGGTTCGAAAAACTTTCAGAAAATCCAATTATCGCTAGTTGTGGTATCCGTGGATGGATGCATTCCCTGATGATAATAATTGATCAGTAATGTAAGATCTTCGTTTTAAAACGAAAAATCAAACTAACACAGTATATCTCGTTAATTAATTGTGACCTGTACAAAGGGACTCGTGGTGAACTCGTGATGAGGTGACCAAATGCTGGTGATTCAAAGATGTTTTTGAGCTTTTCTACACCTTTGAATCCAGTAGCGAATATAACAATTTCCGCTTCTATCCGCGTGTCGTCCGCTTCAATCAAAATACCGTTGTCGTAGAAGCAAACGCTTGGAGCTTTCTTCAAGTTGATGCTTCCTTTATCGACTGCATTAACAAAGTCCTCTGGATCTGGCATATAACAAACCAAACACGAGCGAGCGTCTTTCGAGAAGCTCATTTCTGGTATCATGTCGTACTTGGCGAGCGGAAGCTTCTTTTTTATGTAGCTTTCGACAAATTTCGATGTTCCCCAACGCTGTTACATGTGGTGATCAAAACGGACGATAAATAGTAAATACACATTTGGCTTTTAAGTTCCTAGCGGAATGCAATGCACCCCGTACCCCATTTATGCGTTCGAGGGAAATAATTAATCCAAGCAGGGTATGGAGAACATATCGGATACCCATTTAGTAAATAATAATATAATATAATATAACAAATTATTATATATATGTGTGAGTGTGTGGAGGTTCAAACTAAAACGCTTTCGTTTTATGAAAATGCAAGAACACCATTATTATACAGTACAGTCTGATGATAAAATTGGGATGAAATTGGAAGAATAATATTAATAGGGACTTACTAGAGGTGAAAGTAAAGTGGCAAGTAGACTAAGCAGAAAACCCTCCCCGGGCTTATGAACCTGAAGCTCCGAGAAGCGATTTTGGTAGAGATACGGTAACGGGATTCCCCATGGAGACCAGTTCGGGAGCTTCCAATGATCACGCCGGTAAACTACGCTACACGGATGTTCTGCGCCTAATAAGAATCAACATCGGAAAAGTTAAGCAGGATCGCCGGAAAAAAAGGTTAAAATGCAACACTAACCGTTGATTGACGAGCATTCCCTTGCAATGTCGAGTCCTGTTTTCCCAAATCCCACCACCACGACCTTCTTGCCTTTCACGAATTCTGCAGCTGCATCGTCATCCATGGCAGCGTATTCCATCGAGTGTATCACCTGGCCTCGGAAAACTTCCGGGCCTTTTCCGGCGGGGAATTCTGGAATGTTTGGAAGATCTTTGAATCTTCCCAAACAAAGAATCACAAAATCCACGATGTAAACCTGGTTTTCCGACATGATCAGATTTCGGTTTCGTTGAGTGAATCATTTTAACAGCACCCAAGATGATAACCCATCCATACGTACCTGAGTTGTGGCGGTTCGAGTGTCTTCCACCGTGATATTCCATTTGCCTTCCGGTGGAAAGGGTTCGCCGGTGCCGTTCCACAGGGACCATGTCTCCGATGATGGTCCGTCGTAGCTGATTCCTTTGACTCGGGAATTGAGTTTGATGTGGGGTATGAGCTGAAAGTGGGTGGCGTAGGAGCGGAGGTAGTCTAGGATCTGTTGATGAGTAGGGAAATCGTCGGTGACGGAGGACGGCCATGGGAAGTCGGAAAACTGATACAAAGATTTGGGCGTCTGAAGCCTGGTGGTTTTGATGGTTTTAGCCCATTGACCACCAATATCGGATTCTGCATCCAAGACTATGGGATTGAAACCGGTTGAGAGACAGTATTTACAGGCGAGAAGGCCACTGACTCCGGCACCGATGATGGCTATTTGCTTCTTATCCATTATCTCAGGCGATGCAATCTTCTGTACTTCTTTCTTAAAATGGATATCGATCATGTCTACTAGACATAAACACAACACATGGTGATAATAATTCGGGTTGACCCATTAACCCGACTGATGTAAAGGTTTTATATGGGTCGAGTTATACGGGCCAAAATCCAAATAAACCGAAACCTGTTACATTAAACAACTACACCAAACCAATTCGGAGTAAACAAATTTGGTATATCTATATTAATTATAAAGTATTTTTGATAAAAACTTTTAAAAACCATTTTTTATGCATGAAATATTGTATGTTGATACATATTACTTAAAATTCAAGATTACAAGTAAATTATGCACAAGTACAACTTATTAAACTACATGTTTGAATTCGTGTAACTAACTGCGGATAAACATAATCAAATAGATGATAAACATCTCATTTTAAAATATAAAAAATTTAAAATATAATTAAGATAATAATCAAGTTTGAACAAAATAATTAATTGTTTTTTCTTATAAGAAAATTATATTATTAAACCAAATATAAATTATTTCGTTATTGAAACTAAATTAAATTATAATAAAAAATTTGAATTAAAAATTAAAAAAAAGTGAGAAATTTTAAATAGTTAATTTGATATTAATATCGTATTATTTTTGTCATTTTTTTATGATATCTTCAAATTTATATTTTATTAAAAAAATAAAAACATTATCACTTTTCTGAAATCACATAAGACCACATCATAACACCGACCAAGATAAATAATAAAATAAAATATTAAAATCAAGGGTCAAGTAGCTCGATTCCAGAAGACGAGCGATTCAAGTAAATGGGTGATAAGTTAATAGTAGAGATGTAGTGATCGATAAAACGAATGGAGAACTAACCATGATAAGCAGTGAATCGCTACCTAAAATGGAGCGATTCCAGTCGATTTCAGAAGAGGGGAGATTCAAGTAAGTGGAAGATGATTGAGAGTAGAGATTGATAGAAGAATAGAGAACTAACCTTGATGAAGGAATCAAGAACGTGCATCGCTGCCTTGTCTTGGGAGAAGAAATCGTTGCCTAGGAGAAAGGAATCGATGTCTTTTGGAAAGGAATCGATGTGTTTGGGAGCCGGGAGTATAAATCGTCGTCTTGGGGGAGGGGAGCCGGGTAAACGAAGCGACATTTTGGGTTTAAAAGGGAAGGGTTGAAAACTAAATTTAAAGTAAAGGGTATTTTGGTCATTTAAAAATTTAAGACTTTAAGACTTTTAGTGAATTTGTTTAATAAGGTAGTATATATATATATATATACACACACACACACACACATATATATATATATATATGTGTGTGTGGGGGGGGGGACAAAGATTTGGAAAGTACGTACTTTGAAGTAATTGGATTTTTAAGACGCCATGGATTATTGTCCTTTGTTGATTTAAGATCATTTAAGATGTCTGGTATGAAATTTATTGATGCAAATCTTAAATTGTCATTTTAGGTCATTCAAAAGTTATCCATTAGAAAGGAAATTATTCTTAACCTGATGTATTACAAAGGTTTTAAATTAGTAGCTCTTCTACAGATTTTGGGTGTTTCACTAATGTAGGAAACAGCTCGGGAATTGTCGAATTATATGGATGCATTGAAGAAGAAGATAACAATCATTCCAAAGCACTTATAATTAATAAAAATAAATAAATTAATATCCATCAAATCCGATTAGAAAAATTATGCATAAAGTCAATAATTATCTGCAAACATGAATTAGATAAAACTACCCTATATGCCAAAAAAATGAAAACAAAATAAAAATAATGGACGGTTCAAAGTTGGTTCCATTGGTTATAACAATAAGAGTAGTGGGTCATGTTCAGGGAAAACCGTAAAAAATGAAAAACTGAGGAAAATTGTTTATCTGGATCATATGCACATGTGCATATAAGTAATTTATAAGCAATTTATTCGATATGCACATGTACATAACATGAACACGTGCGTAAAAACAAGAAACAACTTCAATTTAAAAGTTCTCTTTTTTTACATAAATTCTTTAATTTATTTTTTATTATAATTTAATTTAAGCTTAATAACGAAATAATTTATTTTTGGTTTAATAATTTTATAAAGATAATAATTAAGTATTTTTTAAAATTCAATGATTATCATAATTATATTTTAGATTTTTTATATTTAAAATGAGTTTATCCTGTATTTAATTATGTTTATCTGTAGTTAGTTACACGAATTCAGATATGGAGCTTTAATAAGTTGTACTTACGCACAATCTACTTGCAATCTTGAGTTTTAAGTAATATACATTAATAAACAGTATTTTACGCATAAAAAATGGTTTTTAATAGTTTTTGGCAAATGCTTTATAATATAGTATAGATAACAAACGTGGATGTACAAAATTATATCAGGGCAGATTCAAATGAGAATGCTAAGTATTTAAGAAAATAAGAAAAAAAATCGTTAATATACAACATCATATATGATTCACGTATAAAATCATACATGTTTGATAGTTGTCTGCTTCCATTTTTTTGACGTTAATGTAAAATTACTTGTGATTTTGTACAGTAACGATCTTTTTCTTAAATAATTAGCATTCTCGTTTGAATCCCCACCCCCCTCTCTCTTTATACACACATACACACACACACACACACATATATATATATATATATATATRTGTGTGTGTGGGGGGGGGGACAAATGGAAAATACGTACTTTGAAGTAATTGGATTTTTAAGACGTAAATTTCACGGATTGTTGTCCTTTGTTGACTTATGATCATTTAAGATGTCATGATTGAGATTTGTCCAACTTCGAAATTTGGATTGTTCATTGTTTGCTTAAATTACCAATGCTCATAAGTCATAACAAGCCTGTGTGATATCTTTGAGATACAAATCGTGTGAATATGATTTTGTTGATTTTCATAAATAATGGTGATTATTGGGACTATCAAATCTTTGGTGCATTTAATTTCATAAGCATTGTATTGAGTTGTTTGGACATTTTAGGGACCAAATCATACGATTTTTGTCCTGAGATGATTCATCCAGAAATTGGATAATGTATTTGACCCATTTCTATTTTGGTACATATGAGTGCCTAAACATCAGGGAAACACGTTAACTCGCTTATATGGACTTTTATTAAAGTGATTTTATAAGTTGGAGATTTTGTGGCTCGTTCGTTGAGCTTTAGGAAATTTGATCAACTCTAATTGTTCAACAATTATATTTGAACATTAAAATGCATATGTTGCATACTTGGGATTTTGCCCGACATTCAATTGTTCATTGTTACTTAGACATTTTATACATATGTCTACATAACTACTTGGAAATACATATCAGTTGAGATTATTTAATCTTCCAAGTTTAAATCATGAGGAGTGATTCTTTTGATCGAGAGAGAAGTCTGATATTCCAGTCTTGAAGCCATTGGGTTCGGTCAAGTGAGGAGTTTTGATGTTCTCACTTGAACCCTTAGTTTGAATCAAATGAGGAGTTTTAATGTTCTCTTTTTTGAACTTTGGAGAGTAAGCACCAAGTTCTTTTGATAGCCTCAAGGTGAAACTCTGACAATGTTGATACATGGATTACTTTGTGTTCCCCCATCTCCAATGGAAACGAATCTCCCCCGTCATTGAAAGATGTTATTTAGTACTAGTTGTGTACCCGCGCAATGCGGCGGGAGCCATGAATTTTAACGATTTTKAAGTTCCACTGGTTTTATAAGATAAGATTTAACGATGATATAAGTTACACTTGGTCTTTACATATTAATACAATTTGAATAAATAAGAGTTATGGTTTCAATTACAG